AAAGGGAGGGAAAGCAGCTGTAGGAGGTTGTGAGGTTTTCTGGAATTCTTTTACCCAGTGCTTAACAGCAGCACATTGGAATCAAATTTAACTGGAAAAATAAAGTGCAATGATTGTTTTAATAAAGGTGTTCAGTATTAAGCGGTTATACATAAAACACACTATTATTCTCCAAATCTACAAAAACATGCAATAGGCTTAACATACAGTGAGATATTTTGTATAGATATATAGATATAGCTTTCTGTAAAAAGAACCCGGCCATTCAAAATGGCTGTAGAATCTTTATCTGATAAGAAATTTAGAACTATGACTGGCAATTGAAAGTTAAAGGATAGTTCTTGTCTCCTTTGAGGCAGAATTCAGATGAAAATTCCTCTTGTGATTTATTTCAGAGTTGTGAATTTATCGATAAATGTATATCTTTTTCAGCAGATGGACAATAATAAAAATGACTAAGCTTAAACTTTTATGATAAGACACTTCCACTGTTCCCGAATAGAGTATTTCCTTCTCGGTGCCCAAATCATATGAGTTCAATGGCTCTTTACACTGCAGCCAGGTATTGGTTTTCATCCTCCGGGTGATATTCTTTGTTTTAGGATCATACTCAAATTGCTTTGATCCACGGAAGAAGTAGAAGAATCCTAAAGAGAAAGGATCATGATTAGATTCCACACATTCTAATCTTATGAAGACAGAGTAAAATGATTATGGAGAGTAAAGAAATCTGTGTGATTATGTAAATATATCTTCCTTCAAGACTGCTATGTGGACAACCCTATTATTTTATTTCACTTTTTTTTTAGCAACCAAGGTATTCTGTTTTCAAAGCTTTCTCAAGCATCTCCACATGGTAGCTAATACATGAGTCATCTGTTAACCACTTGAGCCCTTTGCTAGAGATTCTATTTGACTCATGACCCCATGTGGCAAGAGCAGAACTGCTTTAGAGGTTAGGGGTTGATTTTTCCTTTTCCTAATTTATTGTACTTGGTGGTGTTGAGAATATACACAGCAAAACCTAAGTCAATTCAGCAAGTTCTCCATGTTCAATTCAACTGATTCCATCGACACTGATTCGATTCTTTGACTTGTGCCACCATCACCATTCACAGTGCCCTCTCCCCAGCTGTGAAGCCCCCAGGTGTCTTTTCAAATCTTCTGGGTTGCTATTGTCAGATTGCAACCCTATAGATAGAGGTTAAAAGACATAGTCCTAAAGGCAGGCATTCACCTATTGCTTTTGTTTTTCTGGGGAGAAATCCAAGATGTGAAGATAGAGTTGCTAAGGGACTTCCTACTTTTCTAGAAATCGAATGACAGAGATTCTTAAAGTAAGGCTCAACAACGGGCCTCG